ACTGCCGCAGGTAATTTGTCAATAGGGCCATCGGCGGGGTGTTACCCGACCTTTGGCATACAGTCATTCTTGTTCAGTACTACTGTGGCTTTACCTTTATCAACCTTTGTGATGAGAATACTGTCCACCTCTCTCAGTGTTTTCATAGCTCTCCGCTCTGATGGTGCAATATTTGGAGCTCCCGGCTGTTTGGATTTCGGGGCCGTGACCAGTTGTACTCGTAGCATCGCTGAAGAAAGCTTTTGAAACACCGACTCTACACTAGGAAATATTTCCCTTGCTCTTATTAATTTTTCACACGCAGCGAAGTTTATCCCTTTTTTTTAACAGACCTCGTTCGTCTTAACTGACGATGATTTTGTGTCAAAGGCGAAACGTTGCCTTGCAGTAGACCTGCTGCTTGTTACCATAATTTTCCGAACGCTATGACGTACATTTTTTAGTGGATGGCCTCAACAATCAATCGTGTAACATGTCCCTTCAAACTTGAGCCAAAAATTAGACACTTCTGACGCACACAAGTAAAACGCTGCAGACAGTATATACTGACATGGTTGGTCTGGTCAATTTGCTGAGGGTACAGAGAAATTCGAAGAATAATGGTAATGGGCATGAATTGTCCTATCATGGTTACGTTCACCGTGATGAGAGAGAATGGACGGAGAATTTGCATTTTGCCGTGGACGGCCGTCATTTTCGTTCATGAGGAAACCGTAAAATTTATGCCACCAAATCTTAATCATGGGAATGAGTCTCAAGATGAACCTAGCAAAAGAGTTCTTTCACCTCTGGCCGCCAAGCCTCTACCCCGAAGGGAGCACGAGGGTTAGGATCCGGGCAAGTTTCCAAAGCCTAGAAAGAAGCAGCCAAGGAGCTGTGGTCGGGTTCACACCAAGATCTTCAGGCGGGCAATAAAAAGCGAACGGACTTGGTAACTGTCGTCTTCCACAGTCCACGGTATGTACCTTGTGATATAGGATTTTACATGGTCATCCTTCTGGTTTTCACAGTTCAAATACGATCAAGCAAATTAGTTAATTGAACCACCAAATAGCTAGCGTGTGCATTTCCTACTGGTTCGAGTTTGCAAATGCATCGTCAGACGTAGTGAAAATTCTGGTTTCGTTTTTCGACTCCTGTTTGATGCACCACTGATCACGTTCAGCGACTGAATGACCCTCGTTAAGGTGGCGTCATGCCGCTTGCCTACCGCGACCCATAGAAATTGCCGTCATCGGTACAGAGCAGCCTTAAATTGAGATGACCATGCGGCCTAAATGAGTCTTTAGGTGGAAAAAGTTATATTTTTATTTTATGAGTTCGACATAATGGAAACCGCAGGGCTGCTATATTTCCACGAGGAAGCTTAAGGTGTTGCGATAAGCAGCACACTCGAGTGTGTCCTCACTTATTTGACCGAATTTGTGATGAAGTTGGCCTCCTCAAGGTACACGCATTATGAGGTTTCTATATGACGGAGCCGTGGAAGGGGTCAAAACCATAAAGCTGACAGTCAGTCAGTCATTTGTTAAGTAAAAGTATAGGTGACAGAAACAGGACGCACTATGCAGCAGAATCAAATTATCTATTTTAGATGCTTCGATGGAAATTGTACTTTGATGCCCTCATGGCGTTCCGCGTACCAAAAGGTGTCTACTTCGGACTGGTTTCTGAATGTGCCAATCAAGTTGTCTACGCAGGAGAGAAGAAGAACCTAACCATTACTGAAGAAGTCATACGATCTGCCACGAAGATGACTGCTGGCCAAACTTCCAAGGTAGTGAATCACGCATGGGGATGCTTTGTCCCGTTCTCGAAGACAACATCTGCCTTCTTGCTGTCCGAATGCACCACTGTCTTACCAATACTTGCTGAAGATACAGTAAGGATTTTCTCATAATCTCTCCATTTTTTCAAGTTGCATCCAGGATCGAGTCTGATTAATTTAAACTTTGTAATGTGGCTTCTTGTACTGGAGATCTAGTTACCCAATATCGAGAACTTTTAGTACAGTGCTACAACTGCAGCCACTGAACCACAACAAGGTCTGACAGCCGCTTGCTTCGCCGCTGGCTATTCGCACGATGAGATTGATTTCTCGAAATCTACGGCATTTTCAGACTTGCCACTTCATAGTGTAGAATGTCTATGTATAAGG